ATCATATTCATCATCTTACATGTTACATGCATGCATCAATGATTGATCATCGGTTTATTCTTTCGCATCATACTGTACATTGTGCTCAACATTTTCAATACACGTATTGTTTTGTTATATACATGTGCTTACGACAGATCCTCTGCCATTTCCGCACGACTCAGGGGAGGTGAGTTTCTTTATACGTTATATATACTGTGTTATCATTGTGGTTATCGTGGTTTTATATCTCGTTAGTGCTATTCTCACTTGTTAAACTTGTTTCATATGCAGGAATCTGTAGAGGTTAAACTCAAATGGGTTGATGCTAAGGTTCAAGCAGGACGTCCCCGAGTCGATTTTCATGTGAAAGTCATGGTGATAGGCAAGAAGAATGGTTTCGGGAAGAATGTTGCGAAATTTCTACCCGGAAAGATTTACGTCGTTGATGAGGATCTCACTGTGGCAGAGGTGGTGATGTGGCCACAATCCAGGGGGCCTGGTCGATGTGATGTGGAAGCTATGAATGAATTTTTGATGAGGCTTTCCATCGGGAAAGTCTATGAAGTCCATCGCACCGTCGGTGCTTGCGCACCCCCCACTTGGTAAGTTTTGTTTGGACTTATCTATGTGATTCTACACGTTTTAGTTTTACAATCTATGCACTGAATACGTACAGGATTCTGGTTGGAGGGCTTCGCACGCAACTCAACTGGACGCATCGGTGCTCACACCTAATCGAGGTCAGCGGGCCTCCTCGGCTGAACGTGGGAAACTTGCCCACTCCCACGCTTTTGAGCTTCTACGGGGGCGAGGATAAGTCTAGGGTAAGAATTGCGACGATGTTTGTTACATCTTTCTTCATGTGATTGTTGTATTGTAATTGTCACCTACTTTTGTAATTTGTGATACACATTTCTGTCTTTCGTTCTATCTCAAATCATTCATGCCATACATTGTAATTAACAATCATGGTATGTCTCTCTGCATGTATTCTATGTTTTCACTTCAGTTGTACCATTCACCTCCTTTATTTCCAGATCCCTTGCATTTCTGTCAGGCTCAAGATCTCGTCTTTCGAGTCAAACCGCGCGCTTCCAAAGTTCACAGCTGGCATCCATGACTCAACGATGAAGAGCGTTTTGATAGCGCTCGGGGATGTCGCCATCAGGTTCAACTCCAGCTGTGAGAGATATTTTGCTGATCACCCGGATGCTAGCGATGTTCCTGCCTTCATCAGCAACGTGTATCTCAAGTCTGCTGTTTTCACGACGACTGTGCCTTCGGACATTGTCATTCTCGATCCTGTTCCACCATCCGTCACAACGGATGCACCAGTCACCGAGCTACAAGACGTCGGTCTTGTGAGCTTGTAAGTTATCTAAATTTGCGCAAGTAAGCCGTTACTAGCAAACATGATATTCAATAGCCTTTTTTTTTGTTTGAATGATCAGGATGTCCCATGTGGACACATTGGTGATGGTAACAAACGAAGAGAAGATAGCAACACTTGCAGCAGACCTCAGAGACCCAGTGCACAGTAGTCGAGTTGTCTGCGCTGCTGGAGTAGGAGATTCCATTTGTGGAATGCCTGTTTTCACCTCCGCGGCTTCGGAGGTTCACAGATGTCGCGTCCACAGAGCGACATCAGTCCGCGCGTTCGATAACGTGACAGCAACTCTTGTTGTTCACGAGAGTGGTAAGCATCATGTCTAGCATTTTCATTGTGGCGCTTGCTATATTTTCCACAAAATTTAGGTACTGTACATTGACTAAGTTCTCTTATGTTTCATTTTCAGATTCGTTCACGACGCAGGCGAAGGGTTTGGAGATTCAGCCGGAACTTTTGGGACGACTGTTCCCAAGTTTTCAGGTTTCGGATTTCCACTCCATGACAATGGGCGAGCGGCAAAGCGTGTTGGACACGCTTCGAGGCCATTGGCATGTGAAGGTATGTGAATTTAGTTGTTAGTTTTTAACATTTACTAAGATTTTTGTATACTTATTAAATGTGCACATCAATATGCATTTTTGGTGGTTACTGATAGCTCTCTAACTCAAATTATTCTACATGTACTGTTCATTGTTATTGAAGGTCCACTTTCGTCCTGAAGGAGCAGGCGTGAGCAAGACCATCTTGGAGATCTGGACGATCACGCAGGCGAGCGACGCTCCGACGAACTTTGACACATCGAGCACACCGATTTCGTCAACACCCGCCAAAAAGAGACAGGACGTGAGCACCCTTCTTATTGTGGTTATTTACATGTGCTCATTGTAGTAGTAATTTGATTGACGTATATCAATTTTTTCTTACACTTGGAAATTGCCCCCTCTTTTTTGTGCAGCGATGGTGAAGCTGTGAGCGATTTGGAACAGCGGGGAAGATGCTCAGAGGAGTTTAAAGAGTTAATGGGTTAATTATTAGACATTTGAACAGACCATGAAAACGAGTACAAACTTACGCGAGAGTGAGAACAACGAGTGTGAGACAGATGAAAGGTATTAGTATGCTAAATGTCTTTTTAAATTGTGTGGGTATGCGTTGTGTTGTGTGTGTATGGGTTTTCATTCATGTTTTCATTGCATAAATAACACATGTCTGTGGGTTTTAAAAATTGGGATCAAACTATCATTTCCGAGAAGGTTCTTTGCGCACTCAGTGAGTGTGTCCATTCGAACTGGATATGATAGAATTGACCCTTTTTTTAGATCACACAGATTGTGTTGTTTCATGTAACAGTTGGATGATTCAGAAACTATGCTATTGAGCTCCCCCCCATGCTAGGCAGGGGACGCGGTAGCATAGGGTCTGCGTCAATTAACTGTTACGCATTTCCATCATGCTATGCATTAATTTCACTACCGGTAGTATATGCATTATACTTATGCATTTGCATTTACTTCACGCATAACAGCATCAGACATATGCATCACGAAATAAACAGTTACGCGTTCACAGTACATCATTTTGGCAACTCATGAAATATAGGTTCAGTCAAAACAAACTAGGAAATGAGAAGGAATGTGGTTCAGCACGTGGTAAATTAACGCGGCAAATACATAACAGTCAGTCACTTAGCTAGTACCGTTCACTATATTTTTTCCATCCTTTATTTTTTGAAGTATGGAGGATTGAAAAAAAAATTGTACATAACGATCGTAATAGGTTGCTTCGCAACCCAAAAAAAAAAAAAAAACGAACCTAGACGAAATTGCGAACTCTCGCCAAAGCCTACACCAGAAAAACTCCCTCTGGTCAACTTTCAAAAACCTGAACAATTTGGACCGCCGGCTTTAAGTAGAGGCCCTCCGCCATACCGGTACACATTGTGTAATGAGTTGTCTCTCCACACAGTCAGCAACATCTGACGTATTGTTAGAATAAGCAGGCAGGAATGATTGCATTAAGCAGCAAGATGAGTACAAGTATGAAACCCGAAAGGGTTGTACTCACTAGAGTATTGCCCCACTACAGCCTAGAAGCATACAAATGGAATTTGACACACCCCCATAGGCAAAGTGGGGGATAGCAAACACAACGAACGGTCACAAGGCCAGTCAAGCAAGAGAACAAAGCAAAGCAAAGCTCACGGTGGATCTCAAGGACACCACACAATCTGAGCACAAGCAAGCGGCCACAAGGCCAGTTCACATGTAGAGTTATAATAGCAAGGCAGTACACTGATCACAACCTATCAAGAGTAAACAAGCAGGTATAAAGATATATGTCAGTGTACAACAAGAGCAAGTCAAGCAACCAGCAGGTGAGGCAGAGCGGGCACAAGCCCAAGAGCTGTGCCGAAACGCTGATGATCACTAGACCCAAGGCCCTTGGTGAAGACATCAGCAGTGTTGGCCCGAGAGGCCACGTAAGCAAGGCGTAGCTGACCACGCTGCTGCAGCTCACGCGCAAGGAAGTAGCGAAGAGCAATGTGCTTCGTTCTGTGCTCCAGTCTCTTCTCGCGACACAAGGCAAGCATTGCCTTGTTGTCGACGTACAGAACTGGAGGAGAACGAGGCCGCTTCCCCAAGTCGGTCAGCAGGTAGGTCAGCCAGCGAAGCTCCTGCGCAGCCATGGCCCCAGCGTAGATCTCGGCCTCACAGTTGGAACCAAGCATAATCAAAGTGCACCTTTTGGTGTCTACCGGGAGCCATGTAGCGAGCCAGGAGGCTGAGAGGGTACGCGAGGTCAGGTCGTGTGCACGTCATCAGGTACATGAGGCAGCCCACAAGCTCTGGGTACGGACCACTCGGCTCTACGGACTCGTCCGAAGGTGGAGCTGAGAGCGAGTGGCCGGTAGACAGAGGAGTGGGCTGTGGCGAGGACCACATGAAGCCAAAGCGCTGAAGGACCTGCTGCACCATGTGTGACTGAGTGAGGGTGATGGTGCGCCGTGCTGTGTCCCGGGTGATCTGCAAGCCAAGATCGCTCCGCAGCTCACCCAGGTCAGTGCAGGTGTGTCTCTCCTGCAGCTCCGCCTTCGCTACAGCCAGTGCCTCAGTGTCAGCAGTAGCAAAAACCAAGTCGTCGACGTACACGAGGATGTAGAACGCTGGCAGAGTAGTGTCGGTGCGTAGAAACAGCGACGGGTCAACAGTCGAAGGAGCAAACCCAAGAGCCGCAAGTGTCGTCCTCAGTGTGTCGTGCCACTCACGGGGCGCCTAACGCAGGCCATACACTGGTCACCGTAGGCTCCACTGGGTACCCTCAGGAAACGACCCAGTGAAGCCCTCTGGACGGCGCAACTAGATGGCCTCGTGAAGGCTACCCTGCAAGAAAGCTGTCGAGAAGTCGAGGGAGTGCAGCTCGTAGTCGCGCTGTGCTGCAACGTGTAGCAACACCCGAAGAGTGGTCATCTTTGGGGTAGGGGTGAGGTCTGACTGAAGCCTCGAGCAACGTAACGTGCCTTGAAGGCAGGTGAAGAACCCGGCGGCCGCTTCACTCTAAAAATCCACATGCCACTGACAATGTTCGCCCCAGGTGGGGGAACCTCGTCGACGTAGGTGCCTGTGGACTTCTAGGGAGCCATCTCTGTGTCCATGGCTGTTTGCCACTGAGAGGAGTACTCACCCGAAATCGCCTCTCTGTAAGAGCGCGGGGTCGGGATGTCAAGTGCATCCGGGTCTCCCTCAGGGGCAAGCAGCATGGTCGCGAGATGTGGTGCAGCGACTGCAAGGCACTCCAGCTCCTCCTGCCTATCCTCAAGAACGTCACAGCCAAGGGCAGTACAGCCAAGGGCAGTCTCACTCCCGACGGACGGAGGACAGGCAGGGACAGAGTCAGAAACAAGACTCGCAAGGTAGTCTAGGCGGTACACAGCAGCAAAGTGAACGAGCTCAGCGACTAAGGCAGACGCAGTAGGAGATGAGAACGAAGGGCTAGTCACCACCGTAGCAAGAAAGCGAGTAACAGTTGGACTGGACGCACGAGCAAGGTCAGACGGAGGGTCAACAACGTAAGGAAGAGAGGACGCAGGAGGTAACGGCAGGACAACACGCTGTGGAAAAGAGGAAGGACGGAGTGTCATATCGTGGGTGCATGGGACAGCCGGAGCACGCTGATGACGAACACGAGTACGGACAGCGGCTCTAGGCTCGGGCTCAAGGTCAAAGCTAGACTCAGGCTCTCGACGCTCAGGGGTGGAAGCACGAGTCTCAGGCTCTCGACGCTCGGACAGGGACTGTGTCACCGCAATGTAAGGAGCAGGAGCAGGCAGTGGGGAGTGCGGTAGCAGCGGCGGCTGAGACTGGTGTGCCGGTGGAAACAGTAACGGAGGAGCAGTACCTGCCACCAGGAAGTCAGTAGCACCTGGCGGAAGACTGAGAAGGTGGCGAAGTGCACCAGCAGGCCCTGTGTCTCCAGCACGAGCAGCTCCACCAGTACTCCCAGCAGCACCTCCAGCACCAGTAGCACCAGCACCTCCAGCACCTCCAGCACCACTAGCTCCGGCAGCGCCAGCACCTCTAGCACCAGCAGTACCTCCAGCACCTCCAGTGCCAGCAGCTCCAGTAGCACCTCCAGCACCTCCAGCACCAGGAGCACCACCTGCTCCGGCAGCTCTAGCACCTCTAGTACGAGTACCTCCAGGACCAGCAGCTCAAGCACCTCCAGTACCTCCAGCTCCAGCTCCAGCGCCTCCAGCACCAGCAGTACCTCCAGCACCTCCAGTGCCAGCAGCTCCAGTAGCACCTCTAGCACCTCCAGCACCAGCAGTACCACCTGCTCCGGCAGCTCCAGCACCTCTAGTACTAGCACCTCCAGGACCAGCTGCTCCAGCACCTCCAGTACCTCCAGCTCCAGCGCCACCAGCACGAGCAGCACCAACACCTCCAGGGTCAGCAGCTCCAGTAGCACCTCTGGCACGAGCAGCATCACTAGTTCCGGCAGCTCCAGTACCTCTAGTACGAGCACCTCCAAGACCAGCAGCTCCTGCAGCTCCAGCACCAGTAGCACTAGCACCTCCAGTGCCAGCAGCTCCAGTACCCCTAGCACCTTCAGTACCAGCAGTACCTCCAGCACTAGCAGCTCCAGTACCTCCAGCTCCAGTACCTCTAGCACCAGCAGCAGCTCCAGCACCTCCAGCACCAGCAGCACCTCCAGCATCTCCAGCACCAGTAGCACCTCCAGTACCTCCAGGCCTAGCAGCTCCAGTACCTCCAATACCAATAGCACCTCTAGTACCTCCAGCAGTACCTCCAGGACTAGCAGCTCCAGTACCTCCAGCACCAGTAGCACCTCTAGTATCACTGGCTGGCACGTCTGTGCACATGGTCCGTGGTATTTTCACCGCCGTTATCTTAACCTTGCCAGGCTGGCTGAAACCCTTGTATTACCAGTTTCATGTCAAACTTATATGCTATAGTCTATGTAGGCTGTAGTGGGGTAGTTCATATGGGGTACAACACATTTAGGGTTTCCTGCTTGTACCCACATTGCTGCCTAGTTCATCCATTCCTCGTTCTCATTCTCACATGGTATTAGAGCAGAATCGTTCCTAGGGCCCACCGAACGTTCCGCCCTGCCCTAACCTTTTTTTTTTTTTTAGCTGCCCCTGCGGCCGCGCTGCCCTTGCAGCCCGCGTGCTGCCCCTGTGACCGTGCTGCCACTGCAGCCGTGCCTGCCCCTGCAGCTGTGCCTGCCCCTGCAGCCGTGCCTGCCTCTGCAGCCCTTGGGAGCTGCCCCTGCAGCCCGCGCGCCGCCCTTCCGAGCAGCTGTGCCTGCCCCTGCAGCTGTGCCTACCCCTGCAGCCCGTGGGCTCTGCCTCTGCAGCCGTGCTTGCCCCTGCAGCCCGTGGGCGCTGCCTCTGCAGCCGTGCTTGCCCTTGCAGCCCGTGGGCGCTGCCTCTGCAGCCGTGCCTGCCCCTGCAGCCGTTCCTGCCTCTGCAGCCCGTGGGAGCTGCCTCTGCAGCCCGCGCGCCGCCCTCAACCGTGCGTGTCGCGACGCCCCTGCGGGACCTGCGCGGCGTTCCTCTCCTGCTCATCGCGGCGCCCCGCAGGATGTCGCCCCTGCTCGTCGCGGCGCCCCCTGGGCGCCGTCCCTGCTCGTCGCGACGTCCCCGGGCGTCGCCCCTGCTCGTCGCGGCGCCCCCTGGGCGCCGTCCATGCTCGTCGCGACGCCCCCGAGGCGTCGCCCCTGCTCGTCGCGGCGCCCTCCCCCCCCTGCAGCAACTGCCTCGGAGCCCTGCCCTGCAGCAGCTGCCTCGGAGCCCCGCCCCGCAGCAGCTTCCGTGGAGCCCTGCCCTGCAGCAGCTGCCTCGGAGCCCCGCCCTGCAGCAGCTGCCTTGGAGCCCCGCCTTGCAGCAGCTGCCGCGGAGCCCCCTGCCGCCGAAGCGGACCTGCCCTACAGCAGCTGCCGCGGAGATGCCTGCAGCAGTCGCTGCCATGCCTTGCTGCAGCTGCCGCGGAGCCGCCTACAACAGTCGTGGCCCCGACCTGCAGCAGCTGCCGAGGAGCCCCCTGCCGCTGTCGCGGCCCCGCCCTGCAGCTGTCCCGGCCCCGCCGTCGCCGCTGTCGTGCGCCTACCGTGCTCGCTCCGCCACTAGTGAGCACTTGCCCCTGCCTTACTAGCGCGCTGCCACACTGCCCTGCCCGCGCTGCTACTGCTGCTACTGCTGCTACCGCTGCTATTACTGCTACTGCTGCTACTGCGGCTACTACTGCTACTGCTGCTCCTGGCGGTGGCCAGATGCAGCTCCAGCGATGTCCGCGTGAGTCCCTCACGCCCCAGCAGCTTCGTGAGTGGTACGCTAGTTGGGGTTGTAGGGGCGGCCGTGGTGGGAGTCGCCCTGGAGTGGGTCGTTCGGGAGCTTCTTGTACTAACCAGGTGCAGCGGCAGTGGCGTCCGCGCGCGGTCCTTTCGCCCCAGCAACTTCGTGAGTGGTACGCTCAGAGTGGAGGGTCACGGAGTACTGCTCGCTGCCTGTACGTCATTCGCATTGGTGCTCGGGCTGGTCAGCCTTGCGGGACGATTGGTCACACAGAGTCCCGCTGCTTCTCCCGTCTGAGCGACGCCTGGCGTACAGAGTTTGGCGACGCGGCTGAGCTCCCGGACTGGGTGGAGCTACTTAGGCAGAGGGTAAATATCTTTGCTCTTGACTATGATGCTATCCTCACTGCCATGTATGCTTTGCCTATTAGTGCTGAGGGTGCCTGTTACCTGTGTGTGCCGACTTACCCAGGTATAGAGTCTGCTGCTCTAGGTGGTGGTGCGTCTTCTCCTCCAGGTGCCGGTGAGGCTGCTGCTCTAGGCGCTAGGAAGTCCACTCCTCCAGGTGCTGGTGAGTCTGCTCTCTTTGGTACTACGCCTGCTGCGGCCTTGCACACTTTCACCCTTGACGCGGGTGCTTCCCGCTCCTTCTTTCGCGACTGCACCACACTCTCGCCACTCAGTCTGCCAGTGGTAGTCTCTCTGGCTGACCCCTCTGGGGGTCCGGTCCTTGCACACTCCACGGTTCTGCCGTGTCCAGCGGTCCCGTCTGGCTCTCTGTCTGGCCTACACCTCCCCTCGTTCTCCACGAAGTTGGTGAGTGGAGCTGACCTTCAGGACGCGTGGGCTGACCAGTTCACTCCTGGAGGTCAGCGGGTGACCCACTGTTTGTGTACTCGGACGGGCCGGCACCTGGCCACGTTCACCCGTCAGCCTCGGTCGAGCGTGTACAACCTGACTACCGTGTCTCCTCCGATTGCTGCGTCTGGTCAGGTAGCTGCGTCGGGTCAGGTGTTTGTTACTGCGTCCCGGTCTGGTCCTTAGTCTGCCCCCTGCTCGTGTCGCCTCCTGTCTCACCAGACTCTCCTCTAGCACCACCACCTTGGTCACCCCTCCCTGCCTCGTCCCTGAGGCATGGCCTCCCGTGTCCTTGTCTCTGGTCTCCCCCGGTCCCTTCCTCCCCTTTCTCCAAGGCCTGCCCCTACCTGTGTTCCCTGCGTTGAGGGCCGGTAGCGAGCCGATCCTCACTCCTCCGAGTTTCCTCCGACAAAGGCTCCACTGCAAACTCTCCACATGGACGTGTGGGGCCCGGCCCACGTCCATGGACAGGGTCACGAGCGTTACTTCCTGCTGGTTGTTGACGACTACTCGCGTTACACCACAGTCTTCCCCTTGCAAGGGTGAGGTCACTGAGGTGTTGATCGACTGGATCCGCGCTGCCCGTCTCCAGCTCAGAGAGAGTTTCGGCTCGGACTTTCCCGTTCTGCGTCTGCACTCCAATAGAGGTGGAGAGTTTTCCTTCGACCTTATGCGATCCTTCTGTCATGCGGAGGGCATCCTCCAGACGTTCATGCTTCCGGCCTCTCCACAGCAAAATGGGATTGCTGAGCGCTGCATTGGCATGGTCATGGACGTCGCTTGTACGTCCATGATCCATGCGGCTGCTCCCCATTTTCTGTGGCCGTTCGCGGTTCAGTACGCGGCGCATCAGATCAACCTCCAGCCCCGGGTCTCCATGCCGGAGACCTCCCCTACTCTGCGGTGGACGGGGAAGGTTGGCGATGCGTCTGCGTTCCGTGTCTGGGGATCTCGAGCTTTCGTCCGTGACTTGTCTGCGGACAAGTTGTCCTCCCGTGCTGTTCCCTGCGTCTTCCTTGGCTTCCCCCCTGACGGGCCTGGTTGGCAGTTTTACCACCCTACCTCGCGCCTTGTTCTGTCCTCTCAGGACGTCACATTTGACGAGTCGGTTCCTTACTACCGTCTCTTCCCCTACTGCACTGCCCCCCTCCCCCCCCCCCGCCACTCTTCCTCGCGCCGGATCCTCCCCCGGTAGACCCCCTCCCCCCTCAGGGTCCTGTCCCCTCAGGTGTGTCCCAGGTAGACGCAGTCAAGCCTGTCGAGGTAGCTGTTGACTCTGGTGCTGCTAGGGGTAATGATCCTGCGGGTGCCGGGTCTGGGGGTGCTGAGCCTGAGCGTGCGGAGCCTGGGTGTGCTGAGTCTGGAAGTGCTGAGCCTGGGGGTGCTGAGTCTGGGGGTGCGGAGCCTGGGGGTAATGTGTCTAGGAGTCCTTTGGGTACAACGTCCTGGCGTGAGCCGCTCTCTCCACGGCAGCAGCGTGAGTGGTTTGCTCGGCGCTGGAGCCGTGCTGCTGGGGCTGGAGGTGCTACTGGTGCTCAAGGTCCTGCTGTCACTGGAGGTGCTGGGAGTTCTGGAGTTGCTGGTCCCGGAGGTGCTCGTACTGGAGGTACTGGAGCTGCTGGGCCTGGTGGTGTAGCTGGAGCTGGTGCTGGAGCTGGAGGTCTTGCTGGAGGTGCTGGAGCTGCTGGAGCTACTGGAGCTGCTGGGGCTCCTGGTGGTCCTGCTGGAGCTGGTGCTGCTGGAGGTACTGGAGCTGGCGCTGCTGGAGCTGCTGGTGGTGTGCAGGAGTTGGAGCTGACGTTGGGGGTACTGGTGCTGTCTCTGCTGGTTCTGGGGGCGCTACACGGCCGCCGCCGTACTTCGTTCCGCTCCTTCAGCAGGTTCTTTGTCTCCCGCCTGCTACTGGTCCTGCTCCCTCTTTACAGTCTCTTTTGCCTGTCTAGTCGCAGTCACAGTTACAGCCTGCCTCGCCACTACCTGGTCCTTCTCCCTACACTGGTCCGACCGGAGGCCTTACGGAGCATCGTGAGCCTGAGTCTCGTCCTGCGTCGCCTGTTCGTACTGCTCGCACTGGTCGTCGTGTTTCGCATCAGCGTCCTCCTGCTGTTACAGGCACGCACCACATGGCGCTTCGTCCTTCCACTGTTCCATAGCGTGTCCCTCTACCGTCTCCTCCAGCGTCCTCTCGTCCTGACATTGCTGACCCGCCGTCAGACCTTGCTCGCGCTGCCAGTACTACTGTCACGTGTCTTCTCGCTACTCCTGTCACTAACCCTTCCTTTGAGTCTACTGCTGCGTCTGCCTTAGTTGCTGAGCTTGTCGACTTTGCTTCTCACTGTCGTCTAGACTACGCCGCTAGTCTAGTTACTGAGTATGAGTCTGTCTGTCCTCCGTCCGTCGGGGGTGAGTGTGCTCTTAGCACGGACGTCCTTGAGGACAGGCAGGAGGAGTTCCAGTGCTTTGCTGCTGCTTTACCACATCTCGTGTCCATGCTGCTTGCCCCTGAGGGAGACCCGGATGCACCAGACTGAGAAAACCGGATGCACCGGAGCCGACCCTCTGCGCAGCGCCACCCCGACCAGCTCCACCTCCTCCGCCACCGCCTCCTCCACCGCCGCCACCTCCGCCACCTCCGCTCCCACCGCCACCGCCACCGCCGCCTCCGCCTCCACTGCCGCCACCGACACCTCCACCCCCGCCACTACC